ACTAGTACCACTACGAGCAGCAGTAGTACTTCAAGTAGCAGCACTACCACAACCACCACCAGTAGTACCACAAGTAGCACTACCACCACCACTAGTGCTACACCAAGTAGCAGCAGCACTACAAGTAGCACTACTACCACGACCACCAGTACCAGTACCACCACGAGCAGTTGCAGCTCCACAAGTAGCAGTACTTCAAGTAGTTCTACCACCACCACCAGTAGTACATCAAGTAGCACCACTACCACTAGCAGTACTACTACGAGTAGTAGTAGCACTACAAGCAGCAGTACAACAAGTAGTAGCAGTACTTCAAGTAGTACTACCACAAGTACCAGCAGTATCTCAAGTAGCACTACTACCACCACCACAAGTACTACAGCGAGCAGTAGCAGTACCACAAGTAGTACTACCACTACCATTAGCAGTACCTCAAGTAGCACGGCTTCCATCACAACTTCTCAAAGATTAGATATCAATGAAAGTAATAATATGAATAATATAAAAAATACAGTTTATCAATTTTTTTTCTAAATTAGCTTGTTATTCACCGACAATTACGTTGATTCCTGGACAATCATCTCTATCATCTCCAACGACGTATCGACGTAGTCAAGATTTTTCTATTACTTCAATGATTCAATTTAATTGTGATGGTTCACTTTCGACAACTACAAAATGGATAATAAAGAATTGTACTTCAACTAGTTGTTCAGTTGAAATTCTATTAAATGAAAAAGTTATAACAACATTTAGTGAACTTTATATTCCATCAAGAACTCTTGATTATGGTGTTTATCAACTAACATTAACTGTAACAATGATTGATTCACCAAATTTAAAATCATCATCTTCAGTTTATGTAAGAATAACTGCAACAGGTATAACAGCAAATCTTGTTCAATTAGGAACATCTATGATAACACGAGGTGATCAACAAGATCTTTTACTTGATCCTGGAACATTTTCGGTTGATCCTGACGAAGATACATTTGATGCAACTGTAAGCATAAATATATGTAGGTGAATATTCAAATAATTATTATTTTATTTTTAATCATAGAAATGGAAATATACATATTATTGTCGAATTTATGAATTACATAATTTTCCAAATATACAAGGAATATTATTATCAATCGATGATTCAAGAGTTGATCCTTATAATCCATCATGTTTGTCAAATCGATCAGGTAAAATTGTTAATAACAATCTAATTTTATTGAAGTTCTGATCTTTATTAAAACACTTCTTTTTTATTACTTTTTATAAAGGAAATGGAACAGGATTGGTATTCGGAAATCTAACTTCATCACCTAATTCATCTCTAACAGTTCTCAGTGGTTCACTTCAACTAAATCAAATCTATCAATTTATGGTCTACATGGAGAATCGTAAAAATTCTTCTATTCAAGCAACAGGTTATGTACTTGTTACAATTGAAATTACTCATCCACAACTGATTGCTGTTGGGTAAGTTATTTATAAGTTTTTAATCCAATTATCCTAATGAAAAATATTTGTTTTAGTTGTGTAATATCACCAATGTGTGTTCCAAATCTTGAATTTCAACTTCTTAATCCAACAACACAAGTTGCTTTATTTACTGTGTGTATTGGAACTTGTACAAATCTTCAAAGTATTAAATGGAATATTTATCAAGGATCAGACAATTCAACATCTTCAAATTCTACTCAATGGACTTTATTTAATCAAACACGTTCATATGAAAATATTTGGTTTTTTTGGTAAAAATCTTGTTTTCTTAATTATCAGATATATTTATTGATTATTTTAGGTACAAATACAAGTAATTTCACAGCAACAGATCTATTATTTCTCAATAATCTTCAAATAAGTCTTTGGCGTTTTGAAGTTGTTTATACATTTCTATCCGCAATAAGTACAAGTGCATTGAATTTTATTATTAATCAACCACCTGCAAATGGTTCATGTTCAATCGATCCTCTTGGTGGTACTATAACTACTTTATTTACTATTGAGTGTCCAGATTGGTATGATGTAGATGGAATACAAGATTATTCGTTATATGGTATGTTTTATTTTCATTAAAGACTGACTTTTGTACTTTCTGTCATTTTAGCATGGACAACAGACATATCACAACGAACAATAATTGCATTTTCACCAGAAGATAATTTTCAAGTTCGATTACCAGCTGGTGATAATAAAACTTCATTACTCAATCTTGTTGTTTATGTTCGAGATCTTGCCGGTTCTATTACACAAGTGAATATATCTTCTGTTAATATTATTGCAGATTTGGCAACAATCAATGATTTAATTGATGAAGTAACAAATTTATCGAGTACGATAACAAATAATCCTATTGTTCGATTACTTTCAAGTGGAAATCAAAATATTGTTGGACAAATGATCATTTCATTATCACAAGAATTCAATCAAATGAATAATGACAATTTAGATAAAGCTATTTCAAGTAATTATTGACATTTAATTTACGGGTATGGTGTTAAATGTCGAAAGGAAAAATGTCGAATAGGAAAATGTCGAAAAGGAAAAAGTATATAGTATAAAGACCGAAAAGACTGACGACGAATAGAACAGATAATCAGTAGGAAAAAGTAGAAAGGAAAATGTAGATAGACAAAATATCGAAAATGAAGTTTTTTAATTCATATTTTTGTATGACACGATGGGTGTGGGTGGGTGTAAATGTGGATGTAGAGAGTCTGAGTACTTGCTCAAGGAAGAGATCCACACACTCACCCACACCCACACCTCCCTTATACCCACACTGCCCTTACAACCATACTCACCCGCATCCTCTAGTGATAGGCAATAGTAATTGCGATAATAAAATAACGACCAGTATAGACATCTTTTTAAATCATTTTTGATTTTTTCTATATTTTCCATTCAATGTTTTTCTTCCACTCCTTTCATACTTATGTTCATTTCGATGTTTTCCACTTTTCTATATTTACCTTTCGATATTTTCCTATTATTTTTTCGACATGTTTTTTTTCGACATTTTCCGTCAGTCCCTTAATTCACGATAGATAATCAAAATAATCTTTCTTAGGTGGAATACCAGCTGCAACAGTTTTAGTATCATCATTAGGAAGTTCAAGTTTACAACAAGTAATTGAATTTAATAGATTTTTTTCGATTCTTTTTCTTTTTTAAAATAGATTTCAATACCATTGAATGAATCAGCATTGATTAATTATAATATACAAATAAATTCTCTAGCAAATGTTCGAGATTACTTAGTAACATTTATAACTAATCTTCTCATAACAACATCAAATAGTATTATATTACAATCATCATCATTAGTTCAATTAACTCAATCAACAAATCAATTAACACGAAATACTTTAGTAAAATTATAAAGAATATTTCTATTGAAAATTTTTATACATTTTTAAATATTTCTAGTTGCTCGTATCAAATAGATGTTATGAATTATCTGCTGCATTGTATTCAATGTTTGAAAAAATCTCCTATGAAGATGCTCAATCAGCATCAAATCAACTTTTTCAATGTGCTTCAAATATTTTAAATGTAAAATATATAAAATTAGTATTCTCACTTCTCTATCAAACTCTTGAGGCTGTGGGTGTGGACGATGATACGAGATGAAATCAGCATCCACACCCTTCAATGATTTTGACATAAAATGAATTTTTTTTCCTTTAATTATCGATGCTAATAATTTTAGGCTGTGAATGGACCATTACAAGGACGAACAGAGGTACTTGATTTAGATAATTCCCGTGCAAATGTCATATCTACTGATTATGATACTGATCTTGAATCTGCATGGTCAAATTTAAGTAAGATCTTTCAAATGATTAATTATTATTGAATTTGAATTTTTGTTTTTTTGAAGATTTATTTTCTGATGGAAATGATTTTTCTACTGAAACAATTGAAAAAAATCGAAATATTTATTATCAAAAACAATTAGCAAATCAAATCAATAGTCAAGTAACACAAATGATATCATTACTAACTTCTTCATTAAATATTCATTTAAATATTGGTCAAAGTTCACTAATGAATACATCTCAATCATTTATATCATTAGAAACTATATCAACTGAATCACTCAAAGATAGACTTGTGAAACAAGTTGAAAATGCTCAATTTAATATTCCATCAGATTTTATTTTAAACACAACGTCTAATTCTTCAATTTCACTTCGAGTAATTTTCTATAATTTGAATCATTTTCTGTTAAATTATTTTTTGTTTTATTTAGACAAAAATAGATCCACTTGCTTCATTTGGAAATTTTCAAAATACAAATCTTTCGAGAGCAATTTCACTTTCAATTATTGATCAAAATGGAAATGAAGTTTCCTTTCAAGCCCATCAAAATAATCCAATACAGTTGATTATTCCTCGTGATCCAAATCTATTAATTCCATCAATGTATTTACAAAATGTTACATCAATTAATTCAACTATTAATAATTTATTATTTAATTATCATTATATTAATATAACAAGTTCTCTCCCGATTTCAGTTCATTTTGAAATTCATTCTTTAAATCGAAGTCTTGCTTATTTATTTATTTATAAATTTGATCAAACACCACAATTAAATAGTACAATTAATCTTATTGATGGATGGACAATGTTTTGTCCTTTCAGTATGTTTTCTTTTCTTTAACATTCATATAGATTTCTTTTTTGTAATTATAGATTTAACCAATGATGATATATATCGATATTTTATTGATAATCAACAAACACCTGGTCATCAATCATTAATATTTGGAATAAGAGAATTAAATTCAACAGAAACTAATAATTATTGTTTAAATAATTCTTCAATAAATACGTCTTTACCAATCACCGATGAATCAATTAATTTTACATCAAATTATGAACTTCTTATATATACATCAGGTTGTTATTATCTTGATGTAAATAATAATTGGAAATCAGATGGATTAATTGTAAGTATAAAATGGATTAGGAAAATAAAGATTATTTGATATTTATTTAACTATAGGTTGGGTCATTGACAAATCTGTATGAAACTGAATGTCTCTCAACTCATTTGACATCATTCGCTGGTGGATTTATTGTTTTACCTGCACCAATTAATTGGAGTTATGTTTTTGCAAATGCTGATTTTATGAAAAATAAAACAGTTTATTTAACAATGATATTTACTTCGATAAGTTATATTATTTTAATGATTTATGCACGTTTTAAAGATAAGAAAGATTTTGAAAAAGTAAACTAGAAACCTACTTCATATATTTCATACAATCAAAATTTGTGATTTGTTTTAGTTGGGAGTAACACCATTAGCTGATAATAATAAATCCGATCATTATTATTATCAAATTCTTGTTTTTACTGGTCAACGAACAAATGCTGGAACAGATTCAAAAGTAATATAGTACAAAGAAAATACCTTAATGAAACTTCTTTTTTTCTTTCTGCTAGGTTTATTTTGTTTTATCGGGTGATAATGATCAAACACAAATTCGATTATTTTCTGATCCTCATCGAAAGATTTTTCAACGTGGTGGAATTAATTCTTTTATTATTGCTGTTCCAAAGTAAAACTATATTATTCTTTCTTTAAAATTTTATAAAAGATTAACATATAGATCATTGGGATTATTGGATTATATTCGTATTTGGCATGATAATTCAGGTGAAAGTTCTTCAGCATCATGGTATTTAAAATATATTATTGTTCGAGATTTACAAACTTTGGATAAATCTTATTTTATTTGTCAACAATGGCTTGCAGTTGAAAAAGATGATGGACGAGTAAGTCGTGTAATAGAAACACATACTATTTATTATTTTTGTCTTGAATTTAGATCGAACGAGTTTTACCAATTGCTAGTGAAACAGAAAAACAAGAGTTTTCATATGTATTATCGAAAAAAAGCTTATCATAGTGTGTCTGATGGTCATCTATGGTTTTCAATATTTTCTCGTCCACCATCAAATAAATTTACACGTGTTCAACGATGTACTTGTTGTTTTGTTTTATTCTTTACTTCAATGTTAATTAATATAATGTATTATGATTTATCAAATGAAGCGAACGCATCAAGTGAAACACACAGTGGTGCATTATCAATTGGTCCTTTTTATATAGCACCGCAACAGGTATATATTGATTTTTATAATGAAAAATATACACTACACTCACACTCCTATGCCTCTAAAATTTCCAGTTTTTGATTAATAAAAACATCTTTTTATATTTAAGATTGGAATTGGTATAATGGTCGAATTATTTACATTAATTCCAAGTCTCTTAATTGTACAATTTTTTCGACGTATTCGACCTCGTCGACAAATTGCACCAATACGTGAAGCATTATATAAGATGAAACCATCTCGAAAAACGTTCGTATATATTTTTAAATACGTTCATCGACACTCACATTCTTAATTATAGTAGTTCGGAAGATATCCCTGCAATCAAGAAAAAAAAATCTTTAATAACATTTCCTTGGTGGTGTTTATTTATTGCTTATGGTCTTTCATTGATAATTATTGCTGTTTCAATATTTTTTATCATTGTTCGAGGAATTGAATTTGGTGATGTCAAAACTCAACAATGGTTAACATCTGTTCTTACTGGTTTTTTCTCATCAGTTATTTTCACTCAACCTATTAAAGTATACTTTCTACTTACTTTTAATCTATATTTCTGAAATATTTTCTCATTGAAGATTATATGTTTGGCTATATTCTTCATATGTTTTTGTCGAAATTCAAAAGATGATAAAGAAACAAGTGAATATATAAATGAAGATGATGAATTTAATATATCTAATGATGAGGAATATCTTCATTCACTTGAGGTTTGCTTTCTTTTAAAATTCTATAGAAAAATAAATTTTCTATTTATAGTATCGCTCCATATTTTCTTCTCAATCTCGAAAAAGTATTAATCGTCTGAATGAAAATGAAGTTATTTATGCACGTGATCAACGTTTAAAAGAAATTCAAATGTGGGCAATTATTCGAGAATTTATTATTTGTTTCATATTTGCCATATTAGTGTTTGTAATAACTTATTCAAGTCGTGAACAGCATAGTTTTTCTCAAGTCAATCATTTACGAGCTTATTTTCTCAATGAAAGACAAACGACTGCTGATTATACTGAAGTTTGTTCTTCTTTTCTTGTGTTGAAATGAATTTTGTTTTTTTCTAGATCAATACAATCGATGACTATTGGTATTGGTTAGAAAATAGTTTTGTTTCAAATATTCGTGCACAACAATGGTATAATGGAAACATTCCACAATATTTAAATGGATTTTTAAATGATAAATCCAGTCGATTAATTGGTTGGGCAACAATGAGACAATTACGTGTTAAATCAGAATTATGTCTCGATCAACGTGTTATTTCAATATGTGAAGATAGTTATAGTTTTGCTAATGAAGAAACACAATTATTTCAACCAGGCTGGACAAATCAAACAATAGAAGATGAAGTCTATAGTTCATCGATTATGAACGCATTTAACTATTCTACGAGTGATGAATTAGATACATATTCGTATATAGGTGAATTTGGGACATATAGCGGAGGTGGTTATGTCTATGAATTTCGTGGTCGTTTATCTGATATGAAAACAAATCTATCTACACTTCATCAATTAGATTGGATTGATGAGAAAACAAGAGCTGTTTTTATTCAACTAACATTATATAATCCAAGTGTTCAATTATTAACTGCAATTACTTTACTTGCTGAATTTTTACCAACAGGTGGTATTTATACAACAGCCCATTTTGAACCAATTAATTTCTACAGTAATTCACTCTTTATTTTTTATTTCTATAGATAAATAAATTTTTGTTGTTTTAAATTTAGCATTTACATCAATATTACAATTAGTTTGTACAATTTTCTACATATTTTTTATTATTTATTTTATGATAATTGAAATTCGATTATTATTTGAATTAAGATTAAAATATTTTCATCAATTTTGGTCCATAATTCAATTAGGTATCATTGGTTGTTCATTGGGAAGTATTGTAGTTTATTTTTGGCGTTTTCAAGAAGCTAATCGTATAAGTCAATTATTTGAACAAACCAACGGATATGTTTATATCAATTTACAACTTGCAGTTTATGTTAATGATATTTTAACATTTCTTCTTGGTTATTGTTGTTTTTTTTAGTACGATTAAATTTATTCAATTATTTCGTTTTAATCAACGAATATCTTTATTTGCTGAAACATTAAAATATTGTGCAAAGGAACTGATTTCATTTTCAATAATGTTCGCAATTGTATTTATATCATTTCTTAGTTTATTTTATTTATTATTTGTATCAAAACTTTCGTCCTGTTCAAGTTTATTAAACACTGCTCAACTGCTTTTTAAAATGACATTAATCAAATGTGATGCATCAGAAATGACTGAAGCTAATGCTTTTCTTGGTCCATTTTGTTTTACTTTATTTATATTTCTAGTTGTTTTTGTTTGTTTAAGTATGTTTCTTTCAATAATTAGTAATGGCTTTCATCACGCGAAAGAGAATCAAAAAGAAGATCAAATTATGTTATCATTTATGCTAAAGAAATTTCTACGATGGACAGGTACGTAGATTTGTTTGGTTTATTTAAGTCAATTAGATTAAATGACTTCAGAGCTTCACTTGTGTGCCATTCATTTTCATAATTATTTTTTTCACGAGCAGAGGAGAGTATGACTGAAGAGAAGATTGATGTATCTTAGTAGAATATAGTTGTCTATTAATATTTTAGGTCTGAAAAAATTAAATCAAACAGAAATTCAAGAAGAACGAGATTGTCGAATGCGCTCACAATATTTTGATCCAATTCAAAATTTTCCTGATAGAATTGATCAATTATTAGAAGCATTTGATAGAGTATGTTAATATCAGAAGTATTTCTATTTTAAATTATTTTGTATTATACTTCTAGATTTATGTCGATCAACAAGCAGAATTATTAAGATTGAAAAAAGCTGGAGTTTAGGTGTTGTTTTGCAATTATGATTATCGGAAGATAATCGATATCAGTATACTCAATTATAGTTATATTCTAAAGCTTTTTGTGCGCGTGTGTTTCTAAATATTTTATAAGCTCATATGATTTTTGATTAAATAAATCTTTAAAATTTACTATGTGTGACTAATGTATGAAAAATGTAAATAATCTTGAAGTTTTTAATGAAAACTGAAAGGAACTGGCGATCATATCTCTCCACCGTGGGTATGGGTGTGAATACCTACTCTTCACTCACTCATACACACACTCTCAAGGTAGAGCCACATATTATAGGTTTCGCTTTTATGGCAAATCACTTATATGTGTATTTACAGGCGTTGGCTTACTATTATACCTCAAACACTGTTAATCCAGAGTACATGGGACTCTTCAAGATATATTTCTAGAGAGTGTTTAGGGTTCTAGATCGCTCTTTACAGGTAGACCTTGAGAGATCCTACCTGCCGTTTCCCTCACAAACACAGTCTTTTTTCTCGAAATTATATCGACCGATGCATGAATTTAGATGAAAATATTACCTGAACTTGAAAGAATATTGCAAATTTTAAAGATGGGTTATTTTGAACGAGAGATCTGATAATATTGCAATCCCATTGGAAAAATATGGAATAACCTATACATGAAAAGGTGTGGGTGGGTGTGAGTGTCCAACGATATAACTATCCACACCCACACCCACCCTGAAAAATAAATTTATTTATTTTATTAAAAGATATTTTTCAATCCATTTTTGTTTATTTTCAAAAATAAAAGTTGAAATTTTGTCAAATCAAAAAGCTAAAAACAATTGATTATATTTTCATCAAATAAAAATATCCCAATAGAATGTTATCAAACACAAAATCTTTCTCTCGAATAATTTCTATTTAATTTAATTAAAAGTACAAAAAATATTTTCTTTTCTTATCTTTCTCAAAACCCAATAAAAGATAAAGAATTTAAAGTTTATTTGTAGAAGTTTTTTTAATCAAAATCATCAAATTAAAATCAATCTTAAAAAAAAAATATCCCAAAAGACTTTTCTTCGTTCTTTTATTCAATACAAAAAACTTTTTTCTTTTTTTCAAAATCAAAAGGTCATTCACAATATTATTTCATACTTTTGAATTCGATGATTTCGCCAATCAGCAATATAAAGATTTCTTTCATCATCAAAAGATAAACCTGTGGGATCATTCAACTGATTTGATTCACTTCCTCCATCATTTCCACCAACAACAATTTCACCTTCTTCTTTTCCTTCACGCCAACGCATTACTCGATGATTCGATTGATCAGCCACATAGATTTGACCCAAAAGATCAACAATTACTCCTTGAGGAAGATACGATTGATTGAGGTTTGCTCCTTTCCCATTTCCTCCAGCTACAATTGTTCCTTCTTTAGCATTTTTGCTCCATTTCATCACACGATGGTTGTTTTGATCTGATACATAAACAGATTGATCGTCATCAACAAAGATATAAGTAGGCCAATTGAGTTGATTGAGTTGATTTCCTTTTCCATTTCCACCTGCCACCACAATTCCGTCATTGTATACACCCATTTTCCATCGTCTCACTTCATTCTTCTCAGTATCAGAAACATAAAGAAATCCATGTTTATCCATTGCCAAGCCATTACATCCAATATTGTCAATGAGAATATGTTGCTTTTGATTCAGCCATTGAATCACTCGTTTGTTATAGAAATCAGCAATGATGATCGAGTAAGTTTGTTGATCAACAATCAAATCTACTGGAAGATTAAATTGATCCATTCTATTTCCTTGACCATTTCCACCTGCAATAATTTGTCCTTGTTTTGCATTATATTTCCATGCAACAATACGATGATTTAAAGAATCAGCAATGAAAATATTTTTATTTTTATCAAAAAAGATTCCGTCTGGGCGACTGAGTTGATTTAACTTTTGTCCTTGTCCATTTCCACCAGCTACAGTGATAGCATTTTGTTTCCATTTCTCAAATATTGGTACTAGAAAATAATCAAAAAAAAAAAGTTTGATGAAAAGAGAAATAAGAAAAATAAAAATGATAAAAAGATTTTGTTGGTTTGTTTTTTTTGTCAAATAAAAATCAGAAAAAAAGAAATATTTTAGAATATTTGCTAATAAAACAAGTGATTTGAATTTAAC